GGGAATGTTAAAACATAAGTCGAGCACAGTGGAAACATACCCAATTTTGGTCGGAAAAGTCGAAACATAAGTCAAGCACATGCCCAATTTCGGTCTGGAAAAACGAAACATAAGTCAAGCACATGCCCAATTTCGGTCTGGAAAGTCGAAACTTAAGTCGAGCACATGCCCAATTTTGGTTTAGAAAGTCGAAACATAAGACAAGCACATGCCCAGTTTTGGTCTGGAAAGTCGAAATATAGGTCGAGCACTATCAAAATATGCCCAATTTTGGTCGGGAAAGTTAAAACATAAGTCGAGCACAGTGGAAACATACCCAATTTTGGTCGGAAAAGTCGAAACATAAGTCAAGCACATGCCCAATTTCGGTCTGGAAAATCGAAACATAAGTCGAGCACATGTCCAATTTCGGTCTGGAAAGTCGAAACATAGGTCGAGCACAATCAAAACATGCCCAGTTTTGGTCGGGAAAGTCAAAACATAGGTCAAGCACATACCCAATTTCGGTCTGGAAAGTCGAAACATAAGTCGAGCACATGCCCAATTTGGGTCTGGAAAGTCGAAACATAAGTCGAGCACATGTCCAATTTTGGTCTGGAAAGTGGAAACATAAGTCGAGCACATGCCCAATTTCGGTCTGGATAGTCGAAACATAAGTCGAGCTCATGCCCAATTTCGGTTTGGAAAGTCGAAATTTAAGTTGAGCACATGCCCAATTTTGGTCTGGTAAGTCGAAACACAGGTCAAGCACAATCGAAACTTTCCCAATTTTGGTCGGGAAAGTCGAAACATAAGTCGAGCGCATGCCCAATTTCGGTCTGGAAAGGCGAAACATAAGTCGAGCACATGCCTAATTTCGGTCTAATGCCCAATGAATTTAGATGTCGATGAAAAATTACAAATATGGAAAATTAGATAGAAATTAGATAGAAAAAATTACAAATATGGAAAATTAAATTTTGGTCGGGAATGTCTAAACATAAGTCAAGAACATGCCCAATTTCGGTCTGGAAAGGCGAAACATTAGTCAAGCTCATGCCAAATTTCGGTCTGGAAAGTCAAAACATAGGTGGAGCACAATCGAAACATGCCCAATTTTGGTCGGGAAAGTCGAAACATAAGTCGAGCACAAGCCCAATTTCGGTCTGGAAAGTCGAAACATAAGTCGAGCACATACCTAATTTCGGTCTGGAAGGTCAAAACATAGGTCGAGCTCATGCCCAATTTCGGTTTGGAAAGTCGAAATATAAGTTGAGCACATGCCCAATTTTGGTCTGGTAAGTCGAAACACAGGTCAAGCACAATCGAAACTTTCCCAATTTTGGTCGGGAAAGTCGAAACATAAGTCGAGCACATGCCCAATTTCGGTCTGGAAAGGCGAAACATAAGTCGAGCACATGCCTAATTTCGGTCTGGAAGGTCAAAACATAGGTCGAGCTCATGCCCAATTTCGGTTTGGAAAGTCGAAATATAAGTTGAGCACATGCCCGATTTTGGTCTGGTAAGTCGAAACACAGGTCAAGCACAATCGAAACTTTCCCAATTTTGGTCGGGAAAGTCGAAACATAAGTCGAGCACATGCCCAATTTCGGTCTGGAAAGGCGAAACATTAGTCGAGCACATGCCAAATTTCGGTCTGGAAGGTCAAAACATAAGTCGAGCTCATGCCCAATTTCGGTTTGGAAAGTCGAAATATAAGTTGAGCACATGCCCAATTTTGGTCTGGTAAGACGAAACACAGGTCAAGCACAATCGAAACTTTCCCAATTTTGGTCGGGAAAGTCGAAACATAAGTCGAGCACATGCCCAATTTCGGTCTGGAAAGGCGAAACATAAGTCGAGCACATGCCTAATTTCGGTCTGGAAGGTCAAAACATAGGTCGAGCACAATCGAAACATTCCCAGTTTTGGTCGGGAAAGTCGAAACATAAGTCGAGCATATGCCCAATTTCGGTCTAATGCCCAATGAATTTAGACGTCGTTGAAAAATTACAAATATGGAAAATTAGATAGAAATTAGATAGAAAAAATTACAAATATGGAAAATTAAATTTTGGTCGGGAATGTCTAAACATAAGTCAAGAACATGCCCAATTTCGGTCTGGAAAGGCGAAACATTAGTCGAGCACATGCCAAATTTCGGTCTGGAAAGTCAAAACATAGGTGGAGCACAATCGAAACATGCCCAATTTTGGTCGGGAAAGTCGAAACATAAGTCTAGCACAAGCCCAATTTCGGTCTGGAAAGTCGAAACATAAGTCGAGCACATGCCTAATTTCGGTCTGGAAGGTCAAAACATAGTTCGAGCACAATCGCAACATGCCCAATTTTGGTCGGGAAAGTCGAAACATAAGTCGAGCATATGCCCAATTTCGGTCTAATGCCCAATGAATTTAGACGTCGTTGAAAAATTACAAATATGGAAAATTAGATAGAAATTAGATAGAAAAAATTACAAATATGGAAAATTAAATTTTGGTCGGGAATGTCTAAACATAAGTCAAGAACATGCCCAATTTCGGTCTGGAAAGGCGAAACATTAGTCGAGCACATGCCAAATTTCGGTCTGGAAGGTCAAAACATAGGTGGAGCACAATCGAAACATGCCCAATTTTGGTCGGGAAAGTCGAAACATAAGTCTAGCACAAGCCCAATTTCGGTCTGGAAAGTCGAAACATAAGTCGAGCACATGCCTAATTTCGGTCTGGAAGGTCAAAACATAGTTCGAGCACAATCGAAACATGCCCAATTTTGGTCGGGAAAGTCGAAACATAAGTCGAGCATATGCCCAATTTCGGTCTAATGCCCAATGAATTTAGACGTCGTTGAAAAATTACAAATATGGAAAATTAGATATATTTTTAATGTTATTATTTCCAAACTTTAATGTTTACTGACTAAAAACAATTTTCGCTGGCTACTCAGTTTTTCACAAGCCGCAGTTTTCACGTGCAGCAATTGTATAAAATATGCATTTCAAAAGTATTTTATAATATTCAGATTAACGTTTCATAAATCAACTGTGCTAATTATTTTGATATGCAATGGGATTATATACTATTTTTGAATTTATTAAAACGTGTTTCAAGCAATAAATTTTGTTAGCCCTTCCCACATTCAGTAAAAAAAAACTAAATTAAAATGGATAATTATTGTCAGTCTCCATAAGTTTCAATAAAAATCTTTATTTTTTATAATTGATTGAAAATGGATTATAATGTTACTGTTTTTTGATGCAAAAAAATTATAATTGATTAAAATCGATAAGTTTTTGAAAAAATGTTTCGGAAGTTTTATTAAATTAGAATCGTTTATTATCCATTATTATTCCACGAACGTCATCGCTTTTTTTTCGTTTTATTTTTGTTTTGTTTTTTTTTGTGCTTTTTATGCAAAATAGCTGATTTATAAGGCATTTTAATTGATTTTTTCTAGGAGATAATATTTCGATAGAAAAAGGAAGTATAGTATGGTATGATAGATTATAATAGATCATAAGAGATTTTTTGGAACAATTATAATCAATTACAGTTGTTTATAATTTATTTAAATATCACTAAAAATGTTATCATTCTAATGGGTTATAAATCGCTTAAACATCCAAAAATGGCGCTTATAATTATTTATAAATTTGCTAAAATTTTAATATAATTATAATATAATCGATTATTTTCTCTTTTTACTGAGTGCGGGTTTGCTTCCGTCTAAAATGCTAGTTTTGCGGAAAAAAAATTAACGTCTAATTTCCGTTTTATTGGAGCAGTCTAATTTGCTTATTGTCTAATTTTCTAGCCCCCATTTTGTCGTATTAAATCATTCTTGCAATAATTGTGTCTGAAATTTTGTTCATCATTTTGCTAGCTTTTGTTAATAAAGAAATCTCAAAAGAGCCTGATTTTTCTGTTTTTAATCTAGTCATACCCAGAGTTGGAACTGGTTCTAAATTTGAGGTCCGGGCCCGGCTGGGGAACAAAAATTTTAAGCCCGAGCTACACGAATATACTAGCAAAAAACACGAATATACTAGCAAAAAGTACATTGAAATTCAAACGTGAACTTAAAAAATTTTTTTATTAAGTCCGTTAGCCGCAGATGATCATAGAAGCTCAATTTGAATTTGGCTGACTTTTGCCGCAGAAAAGAGGGCTTGCTTGGCTGTCTGGATTTGTCTAGCTTTGCTGAAGTCACGCTCCTTCTGGGCGTTTGTGCTTGAACGGTGAAAGATGTGATTTCTTTTCAAAGTCAGGCTCGGTCCCGGCCCGGATGCTGGCCTAAACATGAAGCCCGAGCCCGACCCGGCCCGTAAAAAGCCCGGCCCGATTCCAACTCTGGCCATACCACTTTGCAAATGGGATGAGAACCAAGGAAATCACGAGATGGTTTGCACGCAAATCCATAGATGGATTGTAGGCATCGGTGACTGTTGGTGGGGGCGTCTGCCCTTCCCTTCTCCCATGCCCCTTCAGAGATTACTACCCCACCGCTCTAACGGTCTTCAATTAACGTCTCTTTTGGCCTGTTTTATAAATAATTTGCCTGCGGTGATTAGGCCTGTTTTTCAAAAATTTGCCTGCGGTCTTTACAGTGATTTAGGAGAAAATTAACTTGGTCGACCTAAAAGAAAGATCGAAATAAATTTAGGAAAAGTTTTCCATATTCCACCCCCCCTCCTCTCGGGAAAACCCTAGATCCACATCTGTGCCAAATTTTGCGTGCAGTTGTTCTAGGTTGTTAACAAAAAGATCTAATTGATACGCACAATTTTTTGTTTTGTCTTTTCGACCACGAGAAACATTTATTCTTCGATCGCGCCGGTTATATTCAGCGTTTATCCGGTAATGCCCGTCGCCGATAACTTTTTGGTCGCGGTAAAAAAAACGCGTTTTGGCCGCGGTTATCTAATCATTAAAACTCGATCGACCTCGGAGCAGGAGTTATTTGTTTCAACCATTATAAAAACGTCGCAAGCGGATGATATACTGCAAAGGTAATTGTTTCAGTGCCCAAGAAGAGGAACTAGAAGAGACAGCTGAAAAAATAAAAGGTCTGAATGAAGAATCCATCGCTCTCACCTCGGAGCGCAATGCTTTGAATGCAATACTGAATCGGGAAGCTCAAACTCCTTTAAGGAGACCAATAGTACCTAGAAGTGGCCGGATGGTCACAAAAATTGTGCAGAAATCCTCAAATGACACCTTTAACGATAACGAAAAAGTATCAGCTGAGCCCAAGGTGTCTCTGAGCCGGGGAAGCAATCAAGAGACCCCCAAAGTAAAGCCAAAAGTGAAAACTGTGTTCCCTAGGGGATTGATTGGAATACATGGAAACGAATTTGCTGAAAATAAAGCACCCAACTCACAATCAAACTACGAACCCCAATATCAGGATGACACTGATACTGATTTACGTACAACGCCAATCGATGGCCGTCATTTGTCTCCTCTCGACACAGAAAGGACATCAAAAATTATGAAACAGCTGGGTCCCAAATACTAATAATTATTCTAGGCCTGAAAACTTTTGGCCATGTTTGAAGTCTGGGTGGACGATTTAAATGTTTGTAAATCAAACTATTTCATAGACCGTATTCGTCACTTTTTGGAATTATGCCAATATCATGACAAGTTAATAAGTAACACCTCGAACATTTTTCTTATAAGAATAATTTAATTTCAAATAAGCTTATATCTAGAAAACCTGTTCGTTAATAGAAAAAAGATCCGCTTGTTAATTTTTTTTTTCAAATCAATTGTTCGGACATAATATTCTTCAGACATTTGACGGAACATCGAAACATTTGTTTCAGCTACGGTTCTCCAGCCGACAATTTTCGGCTTTCAAGCAAAATTAATTCTATTAAAAAGATATTACCGCATACGCGTTCACTGTGTGAGCTGATTAAAGCCATCGTCGCATTATCAAGTAAGTTTCAATAATATTGTCATCCGACCGAATTTATGTTATTTTCTAAGCTTTGAGTATACTGAATATTTTAAGCTTTGAGTAAAGATTTTTCGGCCTTAAGGCCACGTAGCTCAGTTGACCTTCAGGGTTCATTAGCTCAAGTTTAAGATACTGAACTCATCGTGAATAAGTTTGTCGCTGAATTTGCACTTCTGAACAAGAAAGACCGGTAACTGTGCAAGTACCACAGAATGTTCCGACCTGTCTTTAAAAAAATAAAAGATTTTTTTTTCCCAAATTTGTCGTTTTTTCGGCGTGGTGTGATAAAAAACCTGAAAGAAAAACTAGAGGTTGGGAATATTCAACCGTCAAAGAAAAAAGCAAACTAAACAATTGTTCAAATAAAATGACAAAAAAAAGGAAAAAACAAAAAATATATATTTGCAGGTTTAAATTTTTGAAATTTTTTGAAGCGCTAAAACCTTCAAAAAAAACTTTATAATTTCAAAAAGGCGCAAAAACACTGAAAAAACTAAAACTACTTGAGTAAAACTGAGTTTTCACATTTTAAAATAGGCTATTGTCAGCTTTTAAGCAATTGAAATAAGCTAATAAACGACTGCTCGCTGGATTTCAATTTTGATTTTTCCAATAACTTTTTTTTCCAATAATTTTACAAATTTTAGGAACGTTGCTTCAGCAACATGCTCACGGGCCGCGTGTTAAGCTCAAGTCAAGTTAGGTTTTGAGTCCAGCCAAAAAAGTGTCCGAGGGCGTTAGCCGGGCAATCAAAGAAACTGTACGCCGTCCTTACGCCAATACTCGAATGGTTCCATCTCGTCTAGGATGTTCTGCTGCGACTCAGATTTTTCACGAAAAAGGCATCCCTCTTTTTAGCGGTTTTTTTACGAGGCTCCATTTTGTTTGCTTCAAAAGGGCTAGTAAGCATTACTTTTGGTTATTCACAGATGTAGTTAAGTTATTGTTGTTGAAACCGTTTTTCTGAGCGGATTGATTGTCAAAGGGTCCGGGTGGTAAGTTGCTGAAGGGACGTAATAAAAAATGTTTAGCGGTGAGTCGTTTTTTGGTTGTCTGTGATATCAGCAACGTTCGTCAGAGGTCTTGAGTTTAACATCGATTCCGTCTCAGTAAGAAGAGTTCTGAAAAACTCCTGCGTAAGTTTTTTTAGATCCAAGAATAATATGCGTTTTAAATTTGGGTTGATCGCTCCCAGGCCCTGCTGAAAAGAGGGTCATAAGGTGCGTTGAATATTTATTTGAGTTCACTTGACTGGTATGGTTTAAATTTCGTTTTTGTCGAGTCTTTCAAGTGATGTTTTGAGTTCCAATTTAGTCCTAGGAGAATCTTTACTTTGTCAATTAATATGGTTTTAGGTTACCTCTTCTTGCTGAAATGCCGGCAAAATGCATTGTCGAAGTTGTCAGTGTTGAAATCTGGTTAAGAATCCAGATTAGCTGTCCTTGTTGTAAGATAATTGAAGATAATAGCATAGTGTTTTTCCATTTTTTTTTCCAATTTCAATGAAGATTGGTCCAAGGAAACATATTCCTGGACTGATGAAGAGAAAATAAGACTCAGTTTATGGAAACCGCGAAGATCACAGAGGTATCATAATCGGATGTAGTTTCTGTACATCGTACCTTGAAAACGAAGCAATCAAAACGCGCACCAATTTGATATAGCGTTGCTGTATGAAAATACTGACAAATTCTGGCCGCTGATATATGCAATTTCGTTTTGCGTGTTTAATGTACATTTTACATTTTTGATGTTGTATTTAACTCCACAATTATCGAAAACCTTGCATCCTCTTCCATGTCAGGTGAAAATTTTAGTCAATTTTGAGCTCTTAGAGCAGACTTTTGATCTAAATAAAAAATCAAGTGAATCAATTCGATTTTATTGCAATTTTGTTTTCTATACTCTTGATGTTACTGAGGATTGACTTTAAAAAGTTTAAATGGCGCAAAATTCAGTTTTTTCAATTTGCGTGGCGTTGCATATTAATTGCACATTTTTATCAATGGAGGATGGGTTTGGGCCGGCTTTGTTGCTGAGGATTTTGTATTTCAGTTTAGAAATCAAGTTTATAACTGTTGTTTAATTGAAAATTAAATTAATCCATGAAGAAAATTTTTTGATATCAAAAACTGGCTCATTCAATGAGAGTATTCGAAAAACCACAGCTACGACTGGCTGTCCAGATATATAAAAAAGCTGGTCTCATGAGATGAAGCTCGATAGAAGCGAAAAACGTACTCCAATCTAATTCAAGTTCAGGCACAAGTAGTAGCTTGATGTGTGCAACTTTGATCTGGTCCGAAAACTTACTTTCAAAGGTTATTTCGTCAGTTTTATGTAATCGCACGAAAAGAACTGCATCCATTACAATCAGTCAACTCATCTTTCCGAGCATCAGGAAAATGAACTCAAAGCTGCAGTGACAGAGCTGAATATATAAGAACTTCCTTCGCCACGCGGAACGAGCAGAAAATAAAATGAAAATCCTGCAGTGACAGCTTATCACCTGTAATGAAGTCTGAAGCTACCATGGTGAAGCAACAGTGGTGCTCATAAAGGATCTTAAATGATTACTTTTCGCCTGTTGTAACTTATGACGATTAGGTCTGGTTTGAGCCACCTCCTTGTGGACATTTTTTAAGATATGTTCAATTTGAAATAAATGATGCCAAAATCTTGTTGAAATTGCAATATTTAGACCCAATCAAGGTCCAAAGAATAGATGCAATACCAGCAATTCTGCTGAAGAAAACTTCGAATATCATATCATCGTCGCTGTAAAGCCTTTTCAAAAACAAAGCGTCTACGGCAATTTCCGACAGAGTGGAAAAAAGGCATTGACTCCAATTTCTAGGAATGATGATTTGAAAGATGTTACAACGTTGAACGTAAATTGAAAAGTTTCGAATGATTTAAGTCTAATCAAGATCATCCGTTGTTGTTCAACTAAAAATCCATCACTTTTTTGTTTTGTTTTGACTTCTCAAAAACCAAAATCAAACATGAACAGCTCCTACCAAAAATTTTACAACTTAAAATTTCAATAGGATCATTTGAGCTCAACAGGGACTAATTTAACAGGAAAACTAAAGCAGGTAAAATAACAGATGGCCATCTGATTTTTTGTTGATCAAATCAGGGGTCTCTCAAGGATCTGTCTTCGGAACCTTGTTTTTGATTTAAATCAAAGATCTGCCTAAAGTTGTCTATGATATTTGCAGATGATCTGAAAGTAATTTTCATGGGTTAAAAAAACTAGGGGCCCAGCCAAAGCTGGAGATACGTTTTTGATAATAAATAAAATTGCTATACTGATGCCGCTCCAAAAAAAAGATTTCAGAAGTTGGACTTTGGTTGTTTCTCTACATAAAAAAGTGAGAAGAGTAAAAATCTTTGAGACAATCAACTTCCACGAGGAAATAACATTTCTCTGAAAAATTAAAGAGTCACCGCTTCTGCAGTAGGCTTTTAACATCCTGTTGTTTCGATTAAGCCTATATTCGATTTGGCAGGATATTTAGCGAAAAAAGTCCAAAAAAGATCAACAAATAAGAATTTTGACATTTCCGAGAATCATAGCATTTCGTGTGAAAACATAGGTTGTAGCAACTTAAGCAGAAAGGATACTCGCAACCTGTAATTTCGATTGAATCCAAAATCTCAGGCTTGGGAGCGTTTTTCTCAAGAAAAGTCGAAACTTAAACAAAAATACTGTCAAATTCAAAATTTTGAATTGTCCGAGGGCCATAACTAGTGGTGTCAAAAAAATTCGTGCATAATCGCCTGAGCCAATAAGTTTCTTACAATCCATTCCTTCATTTGAACTGAAAATCTAAGGTTTCGCAGGGTCGTTTTCAAGAAATTTTGACTTTTCCGAGGTCGATAACACGTTGTGTACAAAACGTTGTAGGTGGCTGCTAAATCAGTGGAGCTTTTTACTAGTAATTATTTTCATTGAACCCACATTATCAGTTTTGAGAGGCTAGTTTTCGAGAAAGTTCAAAACGATTCACAAAACGGTCAGAAATCAAAAGTTTGACTATTACAAGCGCCATAAGTTTAGGTGCAAAAAATTTTTGATGTCGCCGATTTTTCAGAAAGTTTTTCAAAACCGATTTCTCCAATGAAAATAAAAACTCATATTTGATAGGGGTAATTTTCGAGAAAACGAAAAAACAAATCAAAAATATGGGCCAAATAAAACCCCACAGAATTTTTGGGAAGCTGTAGACAGAGGTTTAGGTGAAAAGAAACCAACGGGAGTATGCAGGCACTCAAGGGAGTAAGTAATCTTTCAATTGATGCCCCTTTGCAAAATAATTTGAAAAAATTTCCATATCGAAAAAAAATTCATCACAACCAACTTGAGTAGTACGGAGAGGAGTTTGCCTTAAAACATTTCAAAACTAGGTCATAAAGCCAATAAAAATTAGATAGAAATACTTTGGGCCGACGAACTTTTCTATCGAAACGAAAAAAACTGAGAAGGAAATACGAAGTCAAGTAGTTAAATTACAAATTGTAGGAAAAAACCAAACACTAAAAGCAAGACTAAATGAAAATGCGCGCAGCAAAAAAAACTATTCCAAGATGTGACAACTCCGCCGACAAAAAAAAGCAGACATATAATTGGTCCAAACATTTTTTAAACAAAAAAAGTTTATCAAGCCAAGGCTAGA